TGGGTATTTTAAGGGGATTAATGGATATGTCTTTTACTGTAATAAATCTTTTAATTTGAAGGAATTAAAACACTTCTGCACAACAAAGGAAACAATAATCAGAATGCAGAATAGGACAATACATTCGCCATTCATATATCTGATTTCAGTGTTGTTATGGCTTAGATCTAAAACGTTCCCCCAACATCTAATGTGCTGGATGGGGCCTCTGGGAAAGTGATTAAATCATGAGTGCTATTACTATATTCATCAGTGAATTAATGTCTTGATGAGTTTGTAGCAGAATGTGCTGTTGGGAGGTGGGATCCAGTTTGAGGCCGTAGGTCACAGGGTATGTGCCTTTGGAGGGTGTGTCTCCAGCTCTCTCCTCCTCTGCTTCCTACCACCACAAAGTGAGCAGCTTTGTTCTACTGTGCCCTGCCACTATGATGTTCAGTCCATGGTTACTTGGCCAAGTAACCATGGACTGAACCCCTGAAACCATCAGCCAAAACTCCTTTAAGTTTTAAGTGTTATGTGTTTTGTAACAAGTGATACAAGGGCTAACATCCAAAATATATGAGGAACTCAAACAATTCAATAGTGAGAAAACAACCTGTGTGGTGGCACATGCCTGTAATCCCAGTACTTGGGAGGCTGAGGCAGGAGGATTGCTATGAGTTGGAGGCCAACCTGGGCTACACTGCAAAACCCTGTCCCCTGCTCCCTGAAAAAAGAAAAAAATAAGCAAAGGATCTGAATAAACATTTCTCAAAAGAAGACATACAAGTGGCTGACAGGTACATGAAAAATGGCCCAAAATACTGATCCTGAGAGAAATGCAAACTAGAACCAAAATGAGGTTTCACCTCACACCTGTCAGAATGGTCATCATCAAAAAGACAAAAGACAAGTGTTGACAAAGATGTGCAGAAAAGGGAACTCAGGTATAATTTGGGGAGAATGTAGTATGGTCATTATGGAAAACATATGGAGGTTCTTCCAAAAAAATGAAAAACAGAACTACTTTTGTGATTCAGCAATGCCACTTCTGGGTATAGATCCAGGAAATGAAATAAAAGAAACACCCGCATTCCCATGTTCCTTGTGACATTGCTCAAAATAGCCAGGATACAGAATCCACCCATGCACACACCAAAGGATTGGATAAAGGAAAAAGAAAAAAAAAAAAAAAAATATATATATATATACACACATATGCATACTCTTCAACCTTAAAAGGAAGGAAAGTCTGTCATTTTTGACAACACAGTTGGACATTATATTAAGTGAAATGAGCCAGGCACAAAAATACAACTACCAGTGGGGTGTGGTGGTGCACGCCTATAATCCCAGTACTTGGGAGGCTGAGGCAGGAGGACTGTGACAAAGTAGAGGTCAGCCTGGGATACACTAGAATATTAGCTTAAACTAGGTAGCAAGACCCTGTCTCAAAAAACAAACTAACGCATGACCTCAATTATGTGGAATAAAAAAAAAATCAGACTCAAAAACAGAGGAAAATTGTGACTAGCAGAAGCACAGTGGGGTGGGGGGAACCTAAGGAGATATTGGTCAAGGACCCCAACTGTGAGACAGGAGGGATAAGTTCATGAGATGTTCATTATGGCGATCACAGCAACAATACATTATACACTTAAAAATTGCTAAGAATAGATTTTAAGTGCTCTTATTACAAAATATGGTGAGATAATATATATATTAACCTGACTTAGCCATTGCATATATATGTGTGTGTACATGTGTGTATACTAAATCATGTTGCAGACCATAAATCTATAAATTTTTACTTGTGAATTAATAATTTAAAAATGAGGAATAAGCCAGTCAGACTTGCCTTTCTTTCTGTTCCTATCTGTACTTACTCTTTGCCAAAAAGCCAAGGACTGCTTTCTGTGCCTGTAGACCTGTGGTGCTTTTTAATGGCAAACTAAGATAGCACTTTAAAATAAACTCAGAATTGTGCTGTATGACAGGTACTGCTCTGAGCTCTTCAGAAATGTTTAAATTATTTAATCGCATTCCACCAGGGCTAGTGAATCATGACTTCTGCACTTCTCATTGGGCAGCACAGAGAAAAACAGACCCCCTTCCCCCGGGGTAGGAGCTGGGGACAACCCAAACCTGATATAGCTGGGAGCGGAGAATATGCTATGTCTCTTTCCCCAGGTGGGTAGCAGAGGTGGAAATGATTATTATTAATAGTAATAATAATAAAATCTCAGTGAGCATTAACTGTGCATGCATTGTTCATGGGCTAGAACTAGACATACAAAAATTTTCTCATTTTACCAAAGCAACTTACTCGGACCATTTCAGTCCCTTTATTTTACAGGGTTCAGGAAGTGCAAACCAGCTACCCTGCTGGCACAAAGAATCAGGATCCAGATGTGGATCTGTCCAATTCCGCTCCTCTGCCCACTGTGTAAGGATCCAGGCTTGGCTGGGGGCAGGGATGGGGCTTGAACTGGAGAATCTGCTCTTAGTGCAGGAGACCCAGGGGCAGGAGCAAGTTAAATTATCTGAAAGGAAAAGGCCGTAGAGAGAATCTAACAGCCTTAACCATTATATTTGCAAAGAAAACAGCTCTCTTGCCCTCAGCTTCTATCTGCTAGGCATTACTTTTGAAACCTAGAGCAGTTCTGAGAAGCAGATATTTTTGTGTTTTCATTTTCTGGCTGTGAAGATTAAAGTTCAGGGACTCCCAGCGATCTGCCCAAGGCTCAAGTGAAGGGGTGGAACCAGCGTGGCAGATCTGGGAGGCTTCCAGTCCTGCGCTGTCCTAGCTCCTCCTGCACCTGCCTCCTAGCTCCTCCTGCACGACGGCCAAGGAATTCATGAGGGCCTCCAAGTTCTGTGCAGGCAAGTCGCCTATTATTTTGAAAGAAATTTGGTGCTTGCTGACACAATCATAATGTCAGGCAGAAAGTCAGTCACCAGTAGGCTGGAGGATAGGTAGCTGGGTGCGGGGAGCTTTGCTTTGAAAAACAAAGCAGATGGGATGTTTCTTCTTTCTCAATCATTAGGTATAGATAAGATCCACACAAGCTTGAGGTTTCAAACTTCAGCTCTGGAGAATACAGTGTCCTCTCAATGTTCTGATAAGGTCCAGGGCCCAATTCAGTGTATGGGTGAGGGGCTGAAAACCCTTCCGGTCTCAAACTAAGTGGAGACATCCACCTGAAGAATGAACAGAACAGCTTCCCTCTGAAGCAGGCAAACACAGTGACACAGCCAGCGAGAATCAGGCAGAGTGCTGGGCCCTGACCTGCTGCCCTTGAAAACGTGATTTGTGTTTTCCCCCGGCCAGCCAGGGATTTAAAAGCTATTTTCATTATGAACCTTCACCCTTTATTGGGCCTACAGATGCCCTAGGTGACTAAAAGCAAAACAAAGTTTGACTTTTCTTTTGTAATGAAGATGCTGGCACAAGTATTCCTATTAACATGTGGTGAAATTTGGGTCAAATCTTTTCTCAGCTCTGCCTATATGTTAATCATTCAGAGAGTGTCTGTCTCAAAATTGGCAAAACAAGCTTGATTAGCCCGAGATTTACAGAATCTCACCCCCATCAAGTATGTGGACACCAGGATGGGCAACTTGCAGGGATATTCAACTATGGTTGGAAGTCTCCAGCCATTGTCCTGAACCTGATTTGTCTTAAACTTTGACCACCTGCGAACAGGAGCATTCCCTCCCATACAGATTTCAGAACAATGGCAGCAGGAATGAAAAACCAGGTCTGCGGGTGGCCCTGTCCCAACCCCTGTTGTCACAGTGCCAAGCTGGAGGGGGAGGGAAGGGAGAGAGGCCA